GGGCAGAAAAAAGAAATGTAGGTGCATGAGTTGTTGAGGAAATCATGCAGCATAAACATTGAGAAGGGTAGATACAGAGAATGGTGTATTTGATTCAATAACAACAGAAAGTTTTTCCCAACAGTATCCTAAATCAGACAGTGGTAGTTTGGTAATCTGAAAGAGAAGTGGCAAAAAGGTGTTGTTTGCATTTCTTAACACAGGAATATGGTGCTAGATATAGGTGCTATGTGGATATGTGACAAGAGAGAGGGGGTAATTCTTGCTGGATAGTTTCTTCCTGGAGCTGTTCTGAACAAGCTGTGATATAAAATTATGTGCTTTGGAGTGCTGAGTGAGCAAGGCTTAGAAAAAAAAAAAAGAGTATGTTTCAATAAATCTTTGTTGCTACTTTTGAGATGGAGCAGAAATACTAGTTGAAGCCTTGACAGTCCTCTTCCTGTGACAAAATGTTGAGGGCTGCAAGTTGCAGCCCACGATTTGCCTGCAGGCTGCAGGGCTTTGTCACTATTGCCTCCCCTTAGCTCTGTGATGCCAGTGCTCCACTCAGCTCAAGTGTTGGAACAGGGAACCCACTCTGATACTCTCCACATACAATGAGGGATGTGCCGAGGAACTACGCTACCAGGCTGTCCCAGTTTCCCCTTTTTCGAGCTGTGCCACCCCCATAGCTGATGAATGAATGCAGTTGTAATGTAGTGGATAATGTGTATTACACCATAATGGCCTTTAAAAGGTACATAGGATACTCCTGGTTTTCCTTCCCCTTAATGCAAGGATGATAGACGTCAGAAATAGCGGAAAAACATCCAAGGCTGAGTGAAAAGGGGAAAAAAAAGAGCAATACAAGGAGACTAAAAGGGCAGGAGACGGTAAAAAGGTGTGTTGCAGACAGCAGATTTCTTAAGGGAGATATTCTTAGGATAAACTGAATTTTGTTGAATTCAATCAGAATTGCTATGGGAGCTTAACTGAGTTTCTTGTGACTTACAGCACAGACACTCCTTTCTATCCTTGATGGAAATGTTTCAGTAGAGTGTGAATGATTTCTCAGGATATGTTTGTTTAGTAACACATACTCTGTGCCACACTTTAAAGACTGTTAAGCAAAATGGGATTGTTTATAAAGTAGAATATTTTTTTTCTGGGTTATGCCAGGGCTATTTCTTGAATGATTAATATTATTAAATATTAGAATACAAAATACTGAGTGTTGTCAGAAGTGGAGAAACAGTGCATTAAATGTGAATTAGTGTAATTTGTTCACTGGCTTCTAGTTCAGAAGTTTTCCAGAAAATCTCTCAAATCCATAGCCTGTTTCTTGAGTTAGTGTTTGCAGTTGTATACAGGAAGAACTCCTGGGAGATTTCTTCCAAATTGGAAGTATCAGGGAGAATAAGAGAAGGAGTATACAAGCAACACTGGTTATTATTATTATTATTAGCCAGAGATTTGAATAAATAATACACATAGCTGAAACCCCAGTTTGTTTACCCAGGGGAACAGGACAGAGACTGAAATAGGTAAGACTACTGGTATGTAAGATCCGTGGGGTTTAGGGACTGATGAAATTAGCAATTTACTACAAATAAAAGATTTGGGAAGGAAACAATATCTTGAGCCCATGTGATCATAATAGAGAAACAGAATGAGGCAGGAAAATTTCAGTGAAGGATTAAGATAGCAAAGTATCAGAGAATATCAGCCAAAAAATAAAGGAGGACAATAATCTTCATTAGTAGAAGCTTTAACAGGTATTAATGCTGTTCCAGTCACTCCTGTTTGTTACAAAGTAGGCTGGGCCTTTAAAACTTGAGCTACAGGAGTAGATAATTTCTCTGTTGCTACAATAACACGTTCCCAAGCTCTCGGACTCTAAAAAGAGCATGTAAACAGTGCCTGCACACCTCTGAAAGGCCAGAGAGCAGCCATACAACCCTGGAAGGGCCCAGGCATGGCTGTGGCTGGTGTGACAAAACATGTCAGCAGTGTGTCAGTGCAAGGATTTCAGAGGAAAAGTTCCAGTTCTTTGATTTGGTGTATGTGTGGAGTTTCACTCCTAGGCAGAAGGGTTCTCACGTATCAATGATGTTATATTTGGAAGGTGGAAAAAATTTTTCTAGTCCAAGTTGGAATATATTTATTCACAGAAAAGGGTTACCTAATTTTATTTCTTGCATAATAATATTTCATGCATAATAATTTTATGTCTTTTCATTAGTCTATGCTACCTTAAATTCTGACATTTTTAAAGAGAGAACAATACCTGGCATATTGTCTGAAACAGGAACCAGGCCTTACGTGTGCTGTGTTGTTAAATTTATCAGATTTTACAATATTGACTTCATTTTTACATGAGAATGAACTTGCTGGTTATTTCTAGATGCACCCGTACACCCTCATAACCACAAAAATAGTATTATTGTGCGTTTACATTATCACACTTTTTTTGGCTGTAACAAGAACAGCAAATTCCCATCTCTCACCTGTATCTCAGCTGTCAAAACTTTCCACTGTTACCATTTCCGCAATTCCTTCCTAAGTACTGAAAATGCTGAAGGATGAGTGACAGCTGTCAAAATTTACAGTTCACTGTATACAAAGGGAAGTAATGGTAGAAAATGCTTATCAGAAGAAGGCACCTCTCAAAAACTGGGTCTTCGTTAATCAAGAGAGAGTAATTTCTGCCAGGAAAATGTTTGTCTGTGTCCCCCCTCCCAAAGTTTCTGGCAGCATTTCCTTAATTTTGGAGAGCAAGATGATAGATAGGAGGGTGGGTTTACGTTGCCAGGAGTAATTGCTGACTAAAAGACATTTTCAGATGTTACATCATGGTTCTGGCCTTCTTTTCTAAGGTGTTCCCTCTTTTGGCACTGGAATTTCACCCCATCAGTATTGATTTTTCAATCTAGAATAAAGGTAAAGCATATTGGAAATGAGGCAGCTATAAGACTGTTTCACGCCTTACATGACAAAGCTGCAAATCATAGATACGGTATGGGGGAAAAAAAACCAACAAACAACCCAAAACAAAAAAACCAACACCAGAAACAACAAACCACACTTGAGCATCTTTCTTTCTTGAGCATGTCTTATACTGTGACAAATTCTGGTCCTGGCAGCGAGCTCCGATCTGTGAGCTGCAAAAAGAAAGCAACACTTGTGCTGGTGCAGGAGCACGGGTATGCTATAGCTGCCTCATGCTGAGGTACCTAATGGTTTTTAATCCACAGTTTGCTGGGGGCTTCACAGAACGGAGCGAGTGCATTATACGGGCGTTAAGGCTGAGGGTGTGAGGATCGCAGAGGCAGCGCCAGAGCCTGCAAGAAACCATGGTGGGTCTCCTTTTCTCTGCAGCCGCCCAGGCCCTGCGAGGCCGGGCGGGCAAAGCCGCCTCCGCCGGCGGCCCCGGGCCGGGAGAGCCGTGAGTAACCGCGGGGGAGGACGCGGGCGCCCCAGGGGGGATGCGGCACCCCAGGAGGAGGGATGAGGGCGCCCTGGGAAGGGGGGGATGCAGCCCCAGCGCTTCCCGATGCCGTGACCCAGAAGTTTTGCCAGCCCGCTTCTGATCCAGCAGCTTC